TGGGGCAGGCGACCCTGCGCGCCGCCCCGGGAGCCCGTGGGGTCGGAGAGGCTTCGGCTCTGGCCCCGCCTCCTCCCGCAGCTGTCCGGCCTCTCCTCCTGCCTCCAGGATGTCCTGCGGGGTGGTGGTGGGGGGGGATGTCCAACCCTCGTCCCACCGTCCTGGTAAAGTGCACCCTACCCTCGCCTGCCGGAGGGTGAGAAGTCAGTGCCAGTCGTGCGAGATCAAGAAAACAGGGACCCTGGGTGACTTCAAGGTCCCGAGTGATCGCCGCGCCTTCTCAGCAAAATCCAAACCCCGTTGAAGTCTTTGGGAGCGCAGAAGACTGGGGTGGACACCCCGGCGCTGACCTTGGGGAGCCTCCAAGCCTTGCGAAGCACCCCGTCAGCAGGTGCAGTCGCCCTTCGGTTTCAGGTGCATAAAGGCATTGTCAGGACAGAGGAACCCTCCGCATTCAGAGTGCGAAGCGCTTAGGGTGCCGCCAAGGCCGGCGCCAGCAGCTGTCTGCCACCAGGTGGCGCCAGAGGCACGTCTTTGCTCATCCTTAAGACTGGGACTGTGCTGCCAGGACTCTGAGAGCCCTGGGTGCTGGTTCTCTTCACAGCCCCTCTGCCTCGAATCTAGGGCCAGAGGAAAATCCACATTTACACACTCTCTCCACCCTGTCCCCAGGAAATGTCAAGGTCTTTGAAGTGAGGCTGGGAGGTAAATAACCATGTGGAAAAAAAAATAAATATGGTTTTATGTTATTTGTAATGCGCTGGCAGTTTTTTTCTCTCCCTTTTTTTTGAGAAAAGGCATTAAACTTGTTCTCGAACAGAAACCTGAGAAGGAAACCATAAGGTATTTTAAACAAGAATAAAAGAGGGGCATCTGCTTAGGTATCTGGAAGTGGGCCGGTGGGTGAGGCAAGAGAGAAACACACCACGGTGTGAATATAGCCAAGTATTCATTTATTAACAAAATAAGTCTTACCAAGGGAGAGTTCTATTCATCCCAAATAGGCCCCGCAGCTCCCCGCCATGCTGCGTAAGACCAGGAGGAGGGATGGTGTGGGGAGAAGACCCAGGGCCCCAGTCTTCAATCCCAGTCACTGAGGGAGCCCAAGGAACTCTCCAACTTTGGGGAATCTGTTGGGTCAGGCCTGGGAAGGTGTGAAGGGGGCTATTGTGATCTGTGTGCTCCCTTACTGTCCAACCTTCCCCCAACGGAGCTAAAAGGTTGTACTGCCCACTGATAGTGCCACTGGTCTGCTTTGGAGGGATCTAGCAAGGATCACTGATGCCACCCCCCACCGCCAGGAGAGGTACCATTGCCCCAATAACGGAGAGAAAAACAATGACTATAAAAGCACTTCGCAAAATATAAGGAGCAAAGTTTCATGCCAGCAAGGCCTTCTAGGACTTTTAATTGAGTAAGATGAGCCATACAGGCCCCGGTCTGCCACCAGCAGGCAGTTAACCACTGGGTGTTTGGAGCTAGAAGAGTCTGGAAGTAGAAGGGCTCTGTATGGGGCCACTCAGGGGCCCTCTCTCAGGGCTCTCCATGCTCAGAGCAAGGTAGGGGAGAAAGGCTCTAATTTTGGGGGCCAGGGCAAAGACCAGGGACCCTAGGAGGAGAGGGTGGCAGAGGAGAAGTTACAGAGCAGAGTTCTGGGTCAACGGAGGCAAGACCTGCCACGAAGGCCCCTCCCTGCACCCTCCAAATGTGTTACAAAAAATATCTCCTCTCTGTTACTTGTACAAAGGTAAAAACAGAACCTCAAATGGAAGGAATGAGGGAATGAAGGGGAAAGGGGAAAAGGGGGAAATGTAGTTTTAATGGTTAAGAAGCATGCAAGAAACTCCCCAGGAAGGGAGAACGAAACAAAGAGAAGAACCCCAGAACCCCAACTCCCCCTCTTCCCCTCAAACCAAACCAATCAAAAAAAAAAAAAATGCAAAAGGAAAAAAATTAAAACATATCTAATAAGAAAAAGAAAAAATAAAGGAAGAGGGGTGGGGAACATGTAGTTATTTGCGTGATTAATATTATTTGGGGGAACACAGACTTTTTGCATACCATTGACTCGTGTGGGCCGATAATGCACTTATATTCCCAGCTTGTAAGCTAACATTATAGTAAATAAATACACAGTCCAGTGGGGGGGGAGGGTCTGGGCAGGGAATCTGGCAGGGGCAAGCAGTAGTGGAGGTTGCAGCGGCCAGGCCAGGAG